AAAAATTCACTAATAAAATTTTTTCTTATAATTTAGGCGGTCTAATAGGCTTCATTCTTTCTCAAACTCGTTGGGATTGGAGTGAAGTAGAGCAATTTAATCCTTCAATTTTCTTTTTGGTTCTTCTTCCCCCAATTATTTTTGAAAGCGGATATAATCTTCACAAGGGCAACTTTTTTGCAAATATTGTTCCAATTCTTTTATTCTCGGTCGTTGGCACAGCAATTTCTTCTTTTATTATGGGATTTTTTCTTTATATATTTGGACAGGTTTTTTCTAAAAATTTTTTAAAAATTTTAAAGAAATTTTTCTAGCTTGGAATTGCTTATAGTTTAAATGCTGTAGAAAGCTTTGCTTTTGGTTCGATGATTTCTGCCGTTGATCCAGTCATTACTCTTGCAATATTTCAGGCTCTCAAGGTTTATTTTTCATTTTTTTTTCGGAAATACGAAAAATTATTAGGTAGAAGTTCAACTTTATATGCTCGCTTTTGGTGAATCTATGCTTAATGGTATGTTAATTTTGTTGATTTTTCAAAAAAAATTTTTATAGATGCTGTTGCTATTGTATTGGCTACAACAGCCCAAGAACTTTCTTCCCCAACTATTGCACAAATGAGTTCTTTAGCAACTCTAAAATTTGCTTTTGATCGTTTCTTGATCATGTTTTTTGCATCGGCAGCGCTAGGTGCAGCTATTGGGCTTGTTTCTGCTTTGGTTTGTTTTTAATTGTTTAGGATCCGTTTATAACCTTGAACGCCTATCAAATAAGTTTAAATATCGTGCAGGAATCAAACCTTTAACCTTGCTGATTTTGTTTGAGTTTGCTTTGTTATTACGAATCTGAGCTGTTTTCTCTTCTATAAATCTAAACCCCCGTCGTTTTTTTTCTAAAGTTGCTAGATAAATTCATCAAGTTCGGAAAATTATTTTTCTTTTAATAGAATAATTTTCTGACTTTTTATAGAATTTTTTTCTCCTAAAATATTTCGACTTTTTTTAAAAATCTTTTATTGTTTAATTTATTTAGTTATTCAAACATATCGATTTGCGACGTACACCTTCTCTAGAATTGGCATTACTTTTAATGTTCGCTTATCTTCCGTATGGTTTTGCCGAATCAATTTCGCTTTCTGGTTTTTTAAATAATTTTTCTAATTAAGAAAATTTTTAATTTAGGTATAATGGCTATTCTATTTTGTGCGATAATTATGAGTCAATACACTCATTTAAATATATCACCAATTACACAAATAACTTTTCAACAAACATTTAGAACAATCTCTTTTGTTGCAGGTTAATTTTATTTTAATGGAAAATTTTTTTATAATTTGAAATCCTTTATCTGATATTTACTTTCCTTCCCAATCTTTCTTCATCTTCTTTCTATCTTATTGGGAGTTGACAATGTCCTATCTTTTTACTATATCAAACAAAATATTGGCGGACCTAACCTTGGATATCCATTTGAGGCTAAAAATCGCTATAAATTCGCTTAAGCCTTCACGCTGCGGCTGACCAAATCAAAAAAAAAGTTATTTTAAATTGAATATCCAATTTGTGTTTATCTAAAAATGGGGTTTGACAGTAATTTTATTAGTTTTAGTAAAAGTTAGGCTTACATTGCTGAATTTAAGCTAACTTTTAAAAAGAAAATTTCGATCATTATTTTAAAATAATATTTATCGTCCGATGTTTTGTCAAGTATTGTATCATTTAGACCTCTAGTTTAAACTTTTGGTTTTTTTGAGTCATAAAATAATTTTTATTATTTACTATATTAATTTTTTAAAGAAACATGTACATTTGCTTATCTCGGCTTAGCTTTATTTACATTTGAACTTGTTTTTCATCCAATGTTTTTAATTTTAAGTATTGTAAGTATTTAATTATTTGTATTTAAAATAATTTTTATTCAGGCATTACTTTTTGTAAGTCGAGCAGCAAGTGTTTTCCCATTAAGTAGTTTAGTTAATCGATTTAGCAAAACAAAAATTTCTATGAAAAATCAAATAATAATGTGGTTTAGCGGTAAATTTTTTGTAAATAAATTTAAATTTAATTCTTTTTAAAAGGTATGCGTGGAGCTGTTGCATTAGCTTTGGCACTCCATATGGATGTAGAAACTCCAGAAACTAAAAAAGTTATTTTGACATCTACATTGTTTATAATGTATAATTTAAGGATTTTTTTTCAAATAATTTTAAATATTTTTTAGACTTTTCACAATTGTTTTTATGGGTGGTTCTGCGCTTCCGTTAATTAAGGTTTTTATTTATTTTTTATGGTTCTACAATAAGTGTATATGTATTAATTTTTGTCAAATGAATCAAGATACTGTTTAACCTTTTTTTTAGATACCTCCTTGATATCTTACATTGAAGTTATCTTTAAAAAAGTTGTATCGTTTAGGCAGCTCCTCCAGGCTGTAGCTACTAGCCAAGGGATGTTTAAAGTTAAGGCGGACTTTAGTTGAAAATTTTGTTAAATAATCCGATTTCTTTTTTCCTCACATAGTTTCTGGAATTAAAAATTTTAGAATTGGGATATCTAGTTTCTCGTATTTATTTTTTTGGAGAATCTTAAATGCTAAAATAAGTCCACTTCTTTTTCTTGTTAACATTTTTATTTATTTTTCAAACTTTATTAAAATTCTCTTTCTCAAAATTTTCTTTTAAAAGATTCTTACTGATATATTTCCTGATGAACCAAAAATATTCAAACAACAACGTCGTCGTAGAAGGGCACGTGCTACTAAAACAAATGGCGTTAATGGCTCAGTCACAGGTGGTGCAGGAACATCTTCACCTTCAATTGGTACGAAACCTCGACATAATTCTCCAGTTATTTTAAGCAAAACACAAGAAATGGTTTTTTAAGAATTATAAAATTATTTCAAAAAATATATTTTAAGGTTATTTTTGACTCTGAACAATTTACTGATGAAATAGAAAATGGATGTGATAATGAAAATAAACGACCAAAATCATCAGTAATGCCCGAAAGGAAAAACTTTTTTACAGCATTAAATGATAATTTTATAAGGCCTTTCTTTGTGCGGAAATTTACAAAACAGGTTTCCTTTGTCTATTCTAGCTTTCTAAGATTTTGAGGAGGAGTTAGCGTTTATTTAAACAGTTATCATTGGGGATCGGGTTGGGCTCATCGATCTCGATAACCGAGATTTCTATTCGAGATCTCGGCTCGGTCCGATCTCTATTATTTTCGATGGCTGTAATTTTGCATTAACATTTTCCTCATTAATGTCTCTTCCCTTAACTAAATCCTTCTTAAGAGATTCTTTGTTTATTTTACAATTTTGTAGATAATTTTAGGTAACATTTGAAAAAAGCTTTGGTCGGAGTTTTAGGCGTTTAGACCTCTTTTCTAAATAATCAAACCTTTTTTTCTATTTTCTAGGAAAAATTAGAAAATAACAAAAAGTTACGGCATATAGCCTTCAAAGCAATGAACCATGACGGTGTTCCATCTTCATCTATTACTGGAGATGTTGGTGGGGGTGGTGCAAGTTCTTCAGGTCCAGCAATTGGTACAAGCAGTGATGAAGAAGTGTTTTTCCAATCTTCATCGACATTAAATGCCCCGAATAGTGAACCAGCCCAACCACTTCTTCCACTTTAAAAGTTTGTATTTTTAATTTTTTGATCCTAATTTTAGTCTTTTTAAGGTCTGAAAGTGTTTCTCTTTTTTCTTCATTGCCCCCGGTTCTCTACTCAAAATCCTTCGTGTTTTTTCTAGTAAAGACGTCTGTAGAAAATCAAACGGATATTAACCAAGTATATATTAAATTTATATTAATTTACTAATTAATTATTTCCGGATTTTGGATAGAAAAAATCTTTTTTTGAGATTTTTGGTTATTTTTAAAATACTTTTTATTCAAAATCCGGAATTTTTTTTAATTTTTAAAAAAATTTAATGAGCTATCTAAATTAATTGATATTCCTTTTCTTTATTTTTCTTGAACATTCTCTTTAAATTAAAAATATTTTCTTTGTGCAATCTTATTAGATATTCTCTATATCCTTGGATAGTTTATAACCAATTTTAAACCGAAAGTTTTTTCTGATTATTTTGGTAAAAGAATAAAAAAACCCAAAATTGGAAAATTCTCCCCATAATAAAACTTGTTTGGCTAGAAACCGAAAATCTATTTCTAAAATATTCAAAAAAAACTTTGCTAGCTTTAAACTTGGTATAAACTACTACTTACTCTTTACTATCCCTCAATTAATTTCTAGTAGATGTCCTATTGAAATATTTTCTATATTTTCTCATAATATATTTTAAAAATCGACAATGAATGCCGAAATTCTTTAAATTATTAACCAAAAACTAAAAAAGGTTGAAAAAACGAAAAAATTTTTGAATTTTTTTTAGCATTTTTATTATCTTTCTTATTGTTAGAATCTTTTTTTCTTTTAATCTAGGGTAGCTCCACGACCCCGACGATTTTTTTTTGACAAAACCCCGAACTCCAGCGATCCCGCCCCCGAAAGCTCGGGGAGCTACCCTATTTTAATCTACATTTTTTGACTATAATTGTTCTTTACGGCTCACATATGTATATTATTTCTTTTATTATTTCTATATAGTCAAAACATATCGGGTAGGAAAGTCTGTTGATTAATTAAAATATTTAACAAAAACTACAAAATGTCTCATATATCCATTCCTACGTCCCTCTGCTATTTTTTATCACTTTAATTATGCAAAATTTATTTAATTTTCTCGTGATTATATAATTTTTTAACTTCAAATTATTGACTAAATTTTACAAAAAGTGTTCAAAAATTTTTAAGTGAATTTTTTGATAAAATTGAATTTTATTTTTCATGGTTTCACCACCTTTCAATTAATATACCCGTAATCCCTACAAATCCCTCTCAACTTTTCTTAACCTCTAAATCGGGGATAAGGGAATTTAAAGTGATAAAGGAGGATGTCAGAGGATATGAAGGGATATAAGAGGATTTCTCGGTCAAAAATGAGATTTTTGATCCGGTACCGAAAAATCCTCGGTCCTCCGATAAGTTCTGAAACATCTCTAACCGTAGACAAAAAATAATCAAAAATAAATAATATTTTAATTTCCAATTTTCTTAAAAAACAATTTTTAACAAACAAAATATTTTTTCTAAACATTTAATTTTTCCTTTGCCCACCCTTTCTCTGTGCTGCTCTACCAGCTTTTGAATATTTACTTTTAAAATTTCCTTTAAAATTTTTCCTCTTCTTTTCAAAATGTTGTTGTCGGTCAATTGAAGATTTTGAACGTTTATTTCCAAATTTTCCTTTCTTTCCTTTATTTTCTTCTTTATTAAATTCTTCAGATTTTTTATTTATTTGTTTATTTATTCCTCCCAAAATATTTTCTTTTTCTTTTGGTTTTTGTTTTAATTTATTTAAAATTTCTAATTGACGATTACGTTCATTAGACAAATCGTCGTTTGGTTCAAACTAAAAAATTTTAAAAAATAATTTTCTTAAAAGACAAAAAGAAAACCTTTCTTTTAATTCCCATTTTTGGAGGTTTTTCTCCTTTTAAATTCTTTTGAAATTTTCCTGCCGAAGAAGTAGACTTCTTTGCTCGATTTAATTGATGAATGAGCTAAAAAAATTTTTGAAAATTATTTTTCTGAATAAAATAATGCTTAATTGAATGAGAACTTGTCTCTGTTCGACCTCTAGTTTAACCCAAAATTACATTAAAAAATTTATTTAAAAATAAGATCTCCCATTTTATTACTTTAAAGGCATTGGAATTAGACGAATCGAATATTCGATCGAATAATTTTCGAATACATCGAGGTCGACTGACTTTTCCAGCAAAAATCGAAGTATTTTTTTTAGATTTTCCGATCTCTAATCAGAATATATTTTCGGAACAAATTTTTTTAGTCAGCTATAGTAAAGATGGTTAAAAATTAAATTGAATTTACACTTTTCTAATTAAAAATAAAAAATTATTTAATTAAAACCTGTTCTTTAGACTTTTCTTCAACAGATCCCAACCCAATAGGCTGTCGAGAACCCAAAGGTTCCAAATTTCCATTAATTTTCATTTTTTTAGAATTAAATAGAGGTTTTGAAGAAAGTTGAGAATTCTTTTCATTTCTGGAAATATTTTTGAGTCTTTGAAATTCTTGTTTATTCGCCTGTTCTTTTTTATTATTTGAACGTTCAGCAAAATAATCTTTATATGGATCTGAAATAATTAAATTAGGAAAGACATTTTTAAAGTTTTACAAGGCTGTGGAGCTAGAAAACTCTCAAGAGGAAAATAACTAAAATATTTGAAAAAACAGCGCCTCAGAAATGGTGAAAAGAATAAAAGATTAATAGGGGCAGATGACCAAAGAATGCAAATTCTTCGCCCGCAGTGCCAAAAATCTTTCCGACTTTTGGTAATTTGAAAATTAATTCTAAAAATTGTTCTTAATTTTTGTCCAACAATTTTTTATCAGCCTATCTCCCAAAAATTTTTTTGGCCACCCCCCGAAATAACAACTCAAAATTAATTAAAAATCCCAAATTTTGTTTAAAAATTATTTTAAACTAAACAAACCAGCTTTATCAGGTATTTCAATCAGCCAATCCTTCGTTTCATTTCCTTCTTTTAAAGCCCTTTTATAGCCATATCTAGGCTTCCATTCTTTTGTAGTTTCATCCCAAATTTTTTTGCTTCGCTTCTTTTTACTAACAATTCCCTTCTCTTTTGCAAACTTTTCCCATTTTGTTGGTTCTTTTGGTTTCGGAATCTTTTAAAAAATTGGTTAAAATTGATTTTTTTTGATAACAAACTTACGGGTTTTTCTCTTGGCAAAGAATATTCTGTTGATGGAAGCTAGAAATTTTTTTTGTAAATTTTTATTTGAAACAAAGAAAATATTTTTGAATGAATTTTAAGTGAAATGCAAGTTTGAGTACTTAATAAAATTCTACTACTCTCCCTAATTACAAAAAATTCAAACCGAAGACTAGTCATATTTTTGAAAAGAGATTTTCGAAAATCATTTGGCTACATATTCCCATAGTTTTTCAGAGAGCTTATTTCTATTTATTTTAAGAGACGGAGGATACGAAAAAGTAAATTTTAATTCTCACAAAAAAATTTTAAAAGATTTATTTAACGAACCACAGCACACGTAGCATCCTGAACAACTTTTCTTGGCAAATCCCAAATTTTGTCAAATAAATATTGAGTTGATTTTTGTATCAAAATATTTAATTGATCATTATCATCAGTTTTAAACTCAATAGGATCTTTATTAATTATTAAAAGATTTCCAACGTCCACATAATGACCGGATTCAGTTGACATTATAAAACTAAAAATTGATCCAAAAAAAAGGCAAAATATTTTTAAAAAATTTGAAAAATAAAAATTTCAATAACAAGAAATGAGTAAAAAAGAAAAAATTTTACAAGAGATTTATTCAGCAAATTGTATAGGTATAATCAAAAAATGATTTCAAGTGAAATATTTAAAAGAATTACTCGTCAAAAAATAAATTCAAAACACATTCCAAAATTATTCTTCATTTTCCTTCTCATTTTCTTTTGCCAAAATTTTCTTGCGATGTAATTGAGTTGGACGTGGAAGTTGCTCCTCCCGCTTATTAACAAGTTCTTTGAGTTTTCCAATAACTTTTCGAGTCTCCGGTGTAAGCATAGAATCTTCTTGTTGTAACAACTGAAAGAAAAGGAACGTGTGGGTTATCCCAAACCAGTTTTGCAGGCATATTTATGCGGACTCATAATGATCAGATATCACTTCCTCAAATAAATTGAATGGAGACTGGTTTGGGATACCCCACAAGTAATAACTAGGGTTGCCGTTTCGAGCCGACGTTCGGTGCATTTTTTCAAGCATGGTTTTTTTTTCAATTCGGTTAGTTTTCGAGCTGAAAAGCCTGGGCTCGCTCTATCTTTCGATTTTCGTTTCGAGCGAGCTGCAACCCTAGTAATAACCTAGATAAATAATCCACAAATACCCAAGAAAATCTTAAAATTTCAAACTAACGCTCTGAACAACAGCCTCTCGCTTCTTTGCTTCCAACATACTCATAGAAGTCCCTGTAGTCAATACCGGAGTTCCTCTGACAGAAAACAAAAGTTCACCAAATTTAGAAGCTCGCGGCTGTCCAAACCTTTAAAAATAAATTTGCAATATAAAATTAAATTTAGAGAAACCCTTGAACTCTCGGAGTTATACAGGGAGGTACTTTCATGTGCATTCCTCCAGCAACGTTTATAGATTTGTATTTTCCAGGATGTTTAAAGGTTTCGGAACTAGATGATGGCCCTCCCTCGATTACATAAGTCTCATCAACATTGTGTTCTTCTTCCATCATTTTAATATAGTCAACCAGTTTCATGTCCAAAATTTCCTTCAAATGAAAATTAAGGTAAAAAATATGTGTAAAACAAAAAAAACCTTTGGAATGATTTTTGAAAATTCAGCTTTCATAGCAGTCACGAATGCTGTAGAATATTCGCGTTTTGCCATTTCGAGTTCTATAATATCCTTAGCAACTAAAATTGAAATAATTTTAGAATTTAATTTAAAAAAATAAACATTGTTTTTTAATGGCTTCAACTTTTTCTTTAATTTCTCCTTCCTTTGTTGGTGAAATTGCATTCTTCGGCCTAACCATTCGAAAAGAAAAATTATTAGAGAAAATTAAAATATATCTGCTTTTCTGAAAGATTACAATTAAAATTTATACAAGCTGACTAAAACCGGGTAAAATAATCAAAAATGCGGGTTGTTTAGAAATAGCAAAAAAAGTTGGAAAACGGCGGGACTCAATAGTCCCCCATTTTCGTTTTTTTAATTCAGTCAGTTTGGTGCCAATAATAATGACTGGTTGAGTGCCAACTCTTCTCCTGTGTTTGAGTGTTAATTGTTGATAATGTCAACGTTTAGTTTTGAACTCATCACGTGAATTTTATCTCATTCAAAAGCTCGACTACTACAAGTTGGGGGGGGGGGGGGGGGTCAGCTTTTCTTTCTTCCTTTAGCTCCTCATTATTTTATCGTGTAAACGGAAATTCCTTCGATTTTTAAAATTTTTAATTCCATTTTAAATTCAATTATCCTAAAAGTAAACATTTTCTTCCTTATTTACAAATGGGTCGATTTTATTTTGAAAAGTCTTCTACTCTTTTCTACTCTAAACAAATCATCTTTACAATTAACATTCCTCGCCTTTGAAGCATTTGCTTTTAGAAAAAGTATTTAAAATGTGGGTGGAAAATGTAAGTGACTGCAGCAGGGTTGATTTGTTTTTACTTGTCAGAAGCAAACAGAGCCCTTTTTAAACTCTTCACAGAGAAGTGTGCTAAACAAAGAATTGACTTTCTTCTTTTGAGTTTATCTAGGAGGACTCTAATAAGCCTAAAAGGTTTACTTGAGCTATAGGGGAAAAGAGACCCAAAACGGCGCAAGGCCATAAGGGCGCAAGGCCATAACTTGTTGGAAAATTTCTGGCCTTTATCAATTTTGGTACCAATCTCTTTAACTCGATGAGAGGAATCGTTTAATACTAAATTTGGAAAAATTCGGAAATCTAGAAGCAAGTTATGGCTTTGCGCCGTTATGTCCGCGCCTACTTGGGTGCACCCAGAAAGAAAAGATGGAAGGAAGTTTTTAATGTTTTCCACAAACTTTTCCTTTTACTTCCATCATGTCAGTGTGGTCCAATCATTTGTTGAGAAAAGGATCGACTGTCACTAACTAACTGCAAGATTATTTCTCCCTTAACAAATCTAAGCATTGTTTATTTTAGTTGAGAAAATAATTTTTTTCTCCTCAAGTTTTGAGCAAAACTTGAGAAGAAAACAAACTTGCGTTCTTTAAAGAAACGTTATTTTAACTAGTTTTTAGTTAAACAATTAGTAAAAATGTTTGGTCGTTTTTCGTTGATTTTTTCCCCTCATTTTTATTTTCTAAAAGATAATCCTCTGCACTTTTTTCTACTAAATAATGGAAACACTAACTAATGATTTCCTCTATTGCATTTTTGAGTGAGGTAGAAAAATTGTGAGAATAGTTTTTTTGAATATTTATGTGATGTGTATTCAGCAAATCATTGAAGCAAAAAAATTTTTGTTAATTTAAAATTTTATTTCCAAAATTCGTTTTTCGTTGATTTGAATAACAGCTGCAGTCAAAACTTCCAATTTTTCAAAATTTCCAATTTTTTAAATTCAAATTTTTGGAAGGATTTTTCTGTTTATTTTTGTAAAAATCAACTAATTTTTGATTTCTTAGTACATATTTGTTTTTATTTAACAGTCGGTCCGTTTTTCAATTTACCCTTAACGCTAAAAAATTGTATCTAATATTAAGGGTAACTTATATTAATGATGTTGCTTAAGCAGCTCCCCTATCCAATAGTCAACCGCCAAGTAACTTAAATAGTTTATCTAATTCTGGAGGTATTTAGTAGAGATCGAGATTTATGAAAAGCCTGGGCCTGTTCCCGAGTTCCAGGTTTGATTTATTGACCAGGGCCGTGTCCTGGGCCTGTAGTCTAGGAAAAACCCTGGTCCAGGAAAAGCCCAGGAGTGTCAAAAAATGCCTGGTCCAGGACTCTGGGTACAAGAAAAACCGCAGGCCTTGATCCAGACCCATCTCGATCTCCAGTATTTAGGTAAATCTTAAATTCGATTGAAAAATATTGAGCGATATTTAAAAATTTTTAAATTTTCATTGGCATTCTGTCATTTCGAGAAATTTTATCCAAAATTAATAAATCACTTAAATCTGCACTTTTGCTTGTTTACAATAATTTTTGTTTACAGAGTTTTGACTGCAGCTGTTATTTTTTTTGTTTTTATTTTTCCCTTCTCTTTTTGTTTCATTATTTACTTTTTTCTAATTATCTCAGCAGCACAATTTTCTTGGAAATTATTTTTTAGCAATTATATTTAATATTTTTGCAACATCTAAATTTGCATTTAAAATTAAAAATGGTTTAGCATTTATTTGATAAAATTATTTTATTCAATAAATATTTTAAATATTGATATAGTATTTGGGGGGGGGGTATATAAAAGTAAATACAAATATAATCATTCCATTCTTTCCCTCCCCTCTTTTTTTGCATTCTTTCCCCTCATCAATTCTTTCCAATTTTATAAAAAATCTTGCTCTTTTCTCGTCATATGTATATACAATTTATTTTTATTTTTTTAAATCAGAGATTACATTAACACAAAATTTTGTTTTTATTTTTGTCCACGCTTATTTTAAACTTTTTTAGCCAATTTTGCAATAATGCACTTTGGTCTTTTTCCACGTTTATTCTTTAATTCTTTCCTTAAAAACTCCGAAAAATATTTTTAGGAAAGTACATCAAACAAATTATTTTTAGGAAATTTTTGAATGTTTTTGGGGAAGAAAATTTTATTTTTTGTTGTAAAATAAATATTTAAATTTTTTTATTTTTATTAAATGAAATAAAAATTTATATTTATTTTTGTAGTTAAACACATGGTTTTTAATTATTTCCGCTTTTTTTTGTTAAAAATTTTTGATATAAAAATACCTTATATATTTACATTTATTTACAAAATTTTTATTTTACTTTTCTATTTTTTTTATTTTTTATTTTAATAATTTTTAAAGACTTAATTAATTAATTTAATTAATTAATAGGGTAATTAATTACTATAAAAGATTTAAAAAATTATTTTTTTCCAGTCCCTATTTAAATCTCTTGTTAATTACCTTCTTCATATATTCTTCTCTATATCTAAATTTAAAATAATTGTTTTTAAATCAATGCCAAGCTACTTTATTTTATTTTTACCTTGTTTCCCGTTAAAAAAGTAGTCTTATGTCCAAATTTTTCTCCAAATTTGAAGATTTTTTACTCCTTGTATTTAATGATTTTTTTAATTTTTAAAATTTTCTTTTTTTTAAAGGTTTCTTAAGATCGATGCCTCCAGTCCTTTCTCTTTGTCCCATTCTTACACCATTACGTGTTATTCCTCTATTTTCTCCACAGCCAACAACTACACCACCACAACCTTCACAACACCGAAAATTGTTCATTGGCGGTTTAAACCACGAAACGACAGATGATCAGGTTTGTGTTTTGAATTTTTTTTAATAAAGTTGTTTTTGGTCAGAATTTTATTCGGGAATGTAAGGAAAAAATTTGTCCGCAAAAATTTTGCAGAAAAATAATTAAAAATTATTTTTTCAGTTATGTGACTACTATTCAAAATGGGGGCAAGTTGTGGATTGCATCGTAATAAGGTTAGAAAATGGTTGAAGAAAGTTTTGATTAAATTTTTTAAGGGATCCAGTCTCCAGGCATTCTAGAGGATTTGGTTTTGTTACTTTTGCATTGGCAGGTTTTGAATTTAAAAATAATTTTAATTTTTAAAAAATTAATTTTGAAGAAATGGCTGATGCAGCGATGGCTGAACGACCTCACACAATTGGGGGGAAGGCAGGTTTTTTAAAAATTAGAGAAAAAACCTTTCCATAATTTAAATCTAAAATATTTTATTTAAAATTCAAAAACAGATTGTCGATCCAAAAAGAGCAATTCCTCGAGAACAAATGCTTCAGGCGGCTCTTTGCCCTCCCACATTTTTGGATTCTGAACCTGATTTGGAGTGTAAATTAATGCTCTCAGGTTTTTAGTTATTTTATTTTTTATGCCTTTTTGCCTTATTTTATAGTGAAAAGACTGATTCATAAAATTCTTTGTAATTTCTATTTAGCAATTTATTTAACAGAAATAAAGGTTTCGAATAAAAATTACAACAAATTCTTTATTGGAAATTTTACCAAAAACATTTTATTTAATTTTTATCTGACAAAAAACCTTTTATTTTGCCAAATAAATTATAAAATGAAAAATTACAAAAATTTTAACAAGTTAGAATTTTTACCAAAAAATAAAGCAAAAATATAAAAATACCCCCAAAAATCCATTAAATTATTTAAAGGTATTCTTTGGGATTTCCACACTGTTGAAGACCTTCGCCTTTATTTTGAACGTTTTGGTGAATTGGAGCAAGTAGAAATACTTGGATATCCAAAAGGTTGTGGTTTTATTGTTTTTGAAGAAAGTTCTTCAACAAAATTTTGTTTGGAAAATAATCCCCATATAATAAATGGAAAACAAATTGAAGTTAAAAAAGAAGAAGAAAATGGAGAAAATAAACAAAAAAGAAGAAGAAAAAAATATGGAGGGGGAGGGGAAGGAGGAAATTGTGGAGGAGGGGAAGGAAAAATTGGAGGGGAAGGATTGAATAAATTGGCTGAAAATAATAATAATAATAAACTACGACTATTATCTTCACCTTCATTTTCAAACTAGTCGTATATATATATTTAATTTGTTTTTTTTTGTTTTTTATTTTAAAGTTGTTTTTTGTGTGGTTAATTAATATATATTATTTAATTAATTTTTGTTAAAAAATTTTATTTAAAAAATTTTTTTTTGTTTGTTAAAATTATACACAAAAAGGAATTTCGGAATAGTAAACAGACTCCGATTGGGACAAATTATATGTCAATCGAAAGGGCTAGTCGAGCTGACATGAGTCGAATGACATAGTATAATATGTCCCAATCGGAGTCTGTTTAGTATTCCGAAATTATACACAAAAAAATATTTTTTTAAATGCTCATTTCTTTTAAAATTAATTTTTCTGGTCAGTCACATTATTTCTTTTACTTCTCAATATTCTATGTCCAGTTAAATCGTAAAAGATTTTCTTGAATATTAAATAACTCAATTTCCCTCATATCTTTATGTTTAATTGTTCCTAAATAATTTTCCAAAAATTGTTTTAAAATAATTATCTATTAATTTTGTTTTGCTCAACTGATTTTTTAATTAAAAAACTTTTTTTTACTCGAGCTATTAAAAATAAAAATTATTGTACTATTTTTAATTTTAGAATGATTGGGAGGGGGGGCTAGTTTATGAGTTTAGATTTGTTTTTTGAAGGTTCTTTTACAGAAAAAACTTTCCAAAATTTACAATATCTTCTTTTAAAAAAAGAATTTAAATACTTGGGGAAGTTCATGGCAGGTTAATTTTTACTTGTGACGTTTCAAATAAGTTTTTTGGACATTTCAGCTGCCACAGACCACAATTAACCAATCGTGAATAACCTCCTAAATTTAAACAAAAATTAAATTATCAGAAATATTTACGTTTATGCGAATATAAAAGAAAAACACACAAAATAAACCGTAAATGTCCTAATAGAAGCTCTGGGCTTGTATTTTTCAATGGGTCTCTAATAGGGTTTGGGTTTCAATTAAAGATGTGCTCCTATTTAGGACACTCACGGTACTTGAGGAATATTTAAATTGAATAAATAAAAATTTAAAAGTTTTTTTAACTCAGAGAAGAATAAATTTTAAATTAAAAAAATTATTTTTTAAAAATTCTTCTCTGACTAAAAACTTTTTTTTTCTAAAAAATACCTTTTGTCACATAATTAAATACCTTCTATAAAATCCCCATTCGAATAATTATAACCGTCTCAGAACATTTTGTATTATTTTCCCTCCTTTCATCTTTTTCAATTATCCAATCATTATTTAAATTAAAATTATTTATTTTTTCTTCCCCCTTCTCTTCTTCTTCAAAATCAGAAAGTGGAAGTTCTCCAGGCTCAGTACTACCAAAAGACTCATTATCTGATGGAGGTATTTCACCAGGCTCAGTCTCACAATCTGAGGGAGGAATCTCTCCTGGTTCAGTTAAAACATCGTCATCATCTTTATTTTCGTCTTCCTTATTATTTAAAATTGGAGTTTCATTAATCTTAAAAATTAAAAAATAATCTTTGTAAATACTTTTAAATATAAATTAGAGTTGGGCATAGAACAAGTGTTAATCTGGTGGGGGCTAACTCGAGGAATTCCAAATCACGTAACAGAAAATCGTGGAACGACAAGTCATGGAATGGCCAAATCACGGAATATTTTTTAAATTAGAATTTAAAGATCAGAAATGTTTTAAAAATCAGAATTTTTTTAAATCTGAAAAATTCTGATTTTTAAAACAATTCTGATCCTTAAAATATAATTTTTAAAATATTCCGTGCTTTGGTCATTCCATGATTTAATAATTCCGTGACTTGTACGTTCCGTGAGTTAGCCTGTCACTTACTACTCGGTAGCCCCGCTTTTCGATTTTCAGTTAAATATAAATTTTATTTTTGAGGAACTTCTAAACGACACTCATTTTCAAAAATTTTCGAGTTTTTAAATTTTTTAAAACGGTTAATTTTTGGCAAGAAATATAAAAATTTTCGGGTTGAAACCCAGTCACCAACAACCCTCCTAATAATAAACCTTTTCATTAATTTTTGTCTGTTCTTCTTGTTGAATAATAAAATTTTTTAAAGGAGACATTGGCTTCTCAATAATTAAAAAATCAGAATCTTCAATTAATTTCTTTGTTTTTTGTGATTGTTCTTGTTGTTCAAACACTTTTTGTTGAATAAAATTCTTTAAAGGCGAAAATGTGTTTTCAATTGATTTTGAGGTATTTTCTTCTTCAATTAATGTTTTCGACTTCCCTGCCAAACTTTGACCACTATCCTTGCTAAGCCATCCATCTTCTTCTTCTTCCTCCATTATTTCGTCTTCCTTTCAAAAAATTTTTTTAAAAAATATTTTGAAAAAATTAAAAAAACCTTTTCATTAATTTCTTTTTCTTCAACTTGTTTTGGATGTTCTTTAATATTTTTAGAATTTAAATTATCCTTCAATGCCTGAGATTTATTTTGATAATCTTCTTTATTTAACCAACCATCACTCTCTTCCATTCTTTCATGTTCCTTAAAAAAGGTATATATATAAAATAGAGCTACGGCCATCGCCCACTTCCGAAATTCAAAGAATGAGAGTAGGGTTGTCGACTCTTGAAAAATCTTCGGATATCCGGAATCGAACCGAAAAATCCTCGGTTCTTAGGTTCGGTCCAGAACCGGCAACCCTAAATGAGAGGGTAACTAAAACACAAATTTTCTAACAGCAGCGCTGAAAAATTCTGATTTTCAACAAAGTTACCCAATAAAAAATAAATTATATTATTAGACCTCCCTCTCAAGGATTTCTCTTCTTAAAAATTTTTTGTATAAATTTTAAATTAAAAAAAACCTTTTGACCATTTCCAACAGAATTATCAATTTCTTCAATAAAATTATTTAAAATTAATATATCTGCAGGTTCTGTCCCATCATTACTAATTAATTCAACACTTTCCTCTTCTTCTTTATCATCTAATAAAATAATTTCTTTTTGCTTTTCCTTCAAATAACAATTTTACTTTATTTTAAAAAAATAAAAAAACCTGTTCCTCAATTTGTTTTTTACCGATATTTTTAGAATTTAAATTATCTTCAAATGTTTGAGATTTATTTTGACAATCTTTACTAAACCAACTATCAACCTCTTCCATCCTTACATGTTCCTTAAAATGGGAGATTTTACCTCAAAAAATGCACATATTAAGATATATTTTTAAAATTTGGTTAGCCGCTACCAAGGGCGCCAGGGGAGGCTGGGGGAAATCCAGAAATCGTCCATCTGACTACGGCCTTGGCAACTACTGGATATACGACAATTATGGGTCGGTTTACCCTATATCAAAAACACGGCCATTTCCGACCCAACCCCGATCCAAGTAAAATTTTAAAACCCCGATCTAAACCCGCTTTTTTCAGAATTCGGGCCATCCCTGATGTGAATTGTCTGACTAGCAATAAGCAATACATATTTTAGGTACCAGGCCCGTAGCCGGGGGAGGGTAGGTATTTTTCCTCACGAAAAAATCCTGGCTTCGGCCTGGTAGGTACTTCTGATTATAAAATACGATTTATTCACACCCAAGATAATATCCAAAAATGAGGTTTCAGATTTAATATAATTTTTAAAAATTAAATAAAAAAACCTCAATTCTTCCTTCAACTAGATTATTCTTATTAACATTTTTATAATTTCCAACAACCGTTTTGCTACTTTCACTTCTTTTTCCTCCTCCAATTAACCAAATAATATCTTTATCAAGATTATCAGGACCATCATTTTCAAAAAAACTTAATTCTCCATTATTTAATTTATTTGTTTCGTTAAAATCTGTTGGAATTTCACCAGGTTCTGTGTCAGTGTCGTCATCTTTTTCTTCAACAAAATTATTTTCAAAAATCTAAAAATTAATTTAAAAAAATATTTTTAATTCAAAGAACCTTTTCATTAAAATTTTTTGATTTTTCTAAAAGAGAATCCCTTGTAGGTGACAACGACTTTTGATTATTAAATGGAGAGGAAGACGAATTTGCAGATTTATTTTTATTTAATTTTTGAGAATCTTTACTAAGCCAACCATCATCATCATCCATTTTTTCATCATCCTTCTAAATTCAATTAAATTTAATGATGAATTTTTATTTATAAAATTTTATTCTAGCCCAATATTCTTCGAATTTCTCATTTATTATAGAGCTTAAAGTACGCGAATTGTGAGCTCATTGAATCTGACAATAAACATTCGACATTCAAAAAATGTCAAACAAGAGGATTTATTTTAAAATAATGAGAAACTAACACTAATTTTCATAGGGACCAATAAACCAAAAGAGAAATAATCTTTTGAAAGTTAGAGAAGCTTAAGGAGGGGACTTTGTCTAAACTAGATCTTATAAAAATTAAAAATAAAGAAAACGATAATTCTACAAAAAATCCTTTAACAAAATTATGGCTAAAAACCGAAATTCTAAGCTACCCAATTTAAAATAAAAAATTTAAACAAACCTCTCCTTCTCCATAATTATAAATATTATCGCTCACAAAACTACTTCCAGCGGAATATTTTCCATTCTGAGATATTGAAGACGGATTTGGATATAATGCTGAAAAAGTAAAGAAAATAATTGAAATTTAATTATTTTCATACATTCTTGTTGATATTTTCCTCTAAAAGGTTGACATCGCATTTTTAAATTAAATTTTTATAATAAGAAAAATTAAGAATATGCTGAAAAATAAAGAGAAAAAAAATTAAAAATCACAAAATTTTTCTTTTACTGTTAAGATTAGAGAGCGGTATTTTGAAAAAACCGGGAAATTGTAGCAGAAGAAATCCGGACCGGGAAAACCGGGAATTCCCTATCCCGGTGTAATCCCGACATCTTCAAAAAAGCCAGGAAAAAGGACCGGCAAACCGGGAAACGATCCCATTCCGCTCTCTAGTTAAGATTTACTTTGACGGTTAGAGACTCTTATTACCTCTTCTATTCAGACTCAATTTGTAATTAAATACATTATGCCAAACATAAAAATTTATGTAACCGCAAAATTTTGAATTTAAATAGTAAAGTTTTTCTAATAAAATGTTTCTCTTATTGTTAGGTTTATTTTTGCTGTTATCGCGTGTCTTCAAAATTTTCTAAGCAAGCAGCGTTTAAGAACGTCCAAGAACCTTGCGAAACACTATTTTTCAAATAATGTCAAATTTGGAGTTAATTTTTTGAAATTATTAAAAACCTTGTTTTAATTAATGTGTTCTATTTAATTTTGTGCTCTATTCATCTACCCAAAGAACAACAAAATTTGACCATTTATATAAAATAAACATTTTTATTTTAAGTCTAATTTTTATCTTAAATCATTGATACCACGGTCTGAGGAAAAAATTGGGAGTATAGTGAGGATAAAATTTTTATAAATTTTGTCGTAAATCCTTGTTTCAAACATCCTTTTCTATTTTAATAGATATTTATTTTTAATTTTGTTGATTTAAAAAATTAGTTAAATTAAAAATCCAACTCAATCAAGTAAAAAAGTCAATAATTTAATCGAAATCGATTTTCCACTAATCGACTAAATCGAGTTGGAAATTCTTTAGAAAAATATATTAAAATAGCATGGAAATAAAGGAGATTTAAAAATATTGCCAAAAAATTCCCTCTATAATTAAATTAATATTTTTCTCTAACTCGCAAGTCTTGTAAAGACATCTAGGTAGGTGTATTTATTCATTCATATCCATTTTACACTGATTTCCAACAAAAAATATTTTTTTAAATAAACAAATTTAAATTTTTCTGAAGTAAATTTCTGTTCTTCAAGTCCATGCGTCTCGTAAAAACATTTTTTGCCTTTTTTGTTTTACCTTTACTTGTGCTCAATGGAATGAGACGAAACCCACGTATGTTTAAAATTCCTTCGAAAGTTTTTCTTATATTTATATGAAGCAGAAGTTACTAGGACAGTGTCAAGAAGTTAACTGAGCTATTTGGGCACGAAAAGTTAATTTCATAGTCATCCCCCATGACTAGATTTAGTACGGATAAAAACACGCAAACCGAGAAAACCCAGTTTTCCCCCATAAGTAGTTTTAGAGCCTGATACTCCTGTCCCGGTTATATTTATATCTACAAGTAATATTCATTTATCAAAATAACTCTAAAATATTTAGCAATAATGCAAAGTGGAAGTAGCTCATCAGCGCTGTCTTCTAATCGAATCGAGTTTTGTTTGACTGAGTTGTCTTTAATGATTTCAATTTTGAATGAAAAATATGATTTAGAATTTAACTATAATAAAGGCAACAACAAGCCTATTAAAGATATATTAAATGAGAAATTGGAAAGTAAACTTATCTACACAAATGAGGAAATCAAACAAAACTTGTATAAAATTGCTGGAAAAATCGTAAAAGTATAAACTTCTATCAGTAATTTTCATAAGAATTAAACCGAGGTTTCGATACCTTATAAAGTGGATAGATACAAGGGATCGAGATTTTTGAAAAGCCTGGGCCGGATCCTGGGCCTGTAGTCCAGCAAAAACCCAGGAAGGACAAAAATGCCTGGGCCTGGACTCTGTGTACAGGAAAAACCCAGGCCTTGGTCCAGACCCAGCTCGATCTCTAATAGATACTTATGTATTTAGTGAAGCGGGAATGAAATTTTTAATTCCTTTTTATAAATCAATTTCGTGTCAATTAAATTCTTGTTTAATTCTTTAAATAAATTTAAAGCTAAAAATGTATTAAAGGTGATTGAACATTATGAAGGAAAAATTCAACAATATCAAAATCATTTATTCATATGGTTTAGCAATTTAAATGAAGAACATAAGCATCTTTTTATTTATAAAAAATTTGTTGATTTTGGGAAAATAATGGACAGAAATGATTACGAAAATTTTTTGAACCGTTTTGGTGTTTATATTTCAGCAACAAATGAAAATGAGAATTTACCTGATTTAAGTTCATTGGATAAGATAGGGTTGGATTTAATAATTAATTTATAAGTTAAGCTTTTACATACCCAACAATTTCTAATTTTATTGGAAATTGGGAGGGAAGGGGAAAGGGTCTGCCTAAGCAATACCTTCAATTTTAAGTACATACAACTCATTTGTATTTATAATTTTCCAATCACGAATGTGGATATAAGACCGAGATCAGGGCAGCACGGACTGCAGATTGGTTTTTTGACTTTTGGACTGCGGATTTTCAAGATTTTTACGCAATTTTTCGCAATTTCACACACATAAAGTGAAGAAATCTTCTCCTTGGCCTACCAAAATTCTCAAAATTACGGACATCAAGAGATTAATACGATATCAGAGGATTAAGGGAGTTAAGGATAATCTAGTAGGGGGCGGAGTTAAGCAGTATGAATGGATTAAACCGATTTTAGGGATATTGAGGAATCAATGGGGAGTAAATGTGATATCGAGTGCTTTAATCTACGATATCCGTCCAAATCCTGATATCTCGCTCAATCCCTTCAAATCTCTAATCCTCTAAATCCCTCCAAATCATTACTTTTCCTTAAAATCACCACAATCCCTAATAAGACATTTTGTTCGAAAGGCTTTTAAAATAAAAATTTTATTTAAATATTTAGTGAACAAGAAAAAAAGCAATTTCCATACTTGTTACTTTCACAGGAAGCTAAGAATATTTTTATTTTTTACCATTTAATCGCAATAACACGTACACTTATCGTCAAGTTTATAAGAGAAAATGCTTATTCTTATATTTATTTGTTAGATAATTATGTATTTAAAGAAGATGAAATACCGTAAGTTGGAAAAACATTTGAAAATCTTCTACATATTCTGACATTAAATTAGAATTGAAAGCCAAGCTAATATGTATCATAATTAATCTCTATGCATAAACTAATATTGGAGCCAAATCCGCGGGTGTTGTATCTTGAAACTTAAAATTTAGCCTTAATAATTTCTTGGGATTTTTTCCAAATTACAAAAAGGAAAAGGCCAACCCCTACTACCAACTTAGGAAGATTATTAAGTAATTGGATGAAGGGGTTTGACGGGGTTAAAAATAAAAATTGCTAAAATATAATTAATTTAGAAAACAAATTTCTATTTTTCAATATGTCAAAGCATTTGATTCGCTTGAATTGAAAGCAAACAAATTAT